AATAATCCGGGCACGAAGAAAACCAAACGCGCAAAGCACGTCTTGAGAGCTATCACCAAACACAGGGAGTTCTCATTGATCAAATGAATTTGTCAAGCAGCACCGTGAAATGACTAGTTTTCCCAGGACATGTAGATTCGAAAGTTACAAAATGATTTAATTACGGAGCGCTTCTGATCATCCCATTAATGACCAGTTATGTACCAAATGTCTTTAAGAAGCAGTAGCCACCGAACCAGCAGGGTCAAAGACCGAGCAAACATAACGGAGAACAGTTCGTTGCGTAACGAAATTTTGACACTCACATTTAACTCTACGACTAACTACATGAGAGTCAATTTCAAGGTTCAACGTTAACTCTATACCTGAGAACTCAAATAATTGCTGCCATTCGAAACCTCCCTTACTTTTGCAGTTACAACAGTTGAAATATTAACAACAAACGTGGTAGGACGTTACCAATTTGAGGAGGTTCACCACTCTCAGAACGTCGTCGCAATTGTCTAATGAATGCAAGTAATCATCCATGTAGAACCTAGTAAGTACTGTTCTAGATTACTCAGGAAAAATTCTAACTTTATCTCTATCTGTTACTGAAGTAGGAACTTTACGCGCGTCGAGGAGTCTCAATCACTGAAGAACTTCTAACCGATATGGCGACCTTGCGCCACATAAAGAGCAATGGATCATTTGGAGGATTCCAGCTTGGAGGAACAAACCTTCAATGTTCGCGGAGACGGTAAACTGTTTTTGACGGGCGCCCATATGAACGTGTAACCAATTTTGCTGTGACTACGGCCCAATTAGCAAAAAATAACTCAGTGAGTTGCCTAGAAGTTGTCACGCGCCATTTAAAACCCTACAAAACTTACCGGCTTGTTTGAGATGAGGGCAGGATGATGAGGAAAAACCATTTATGGGCGAAGCGAAGCTGCAGCTTGTGCGGTTAAAGCGGAATAACAAAACTTTTATTGTCTCAGTGTTAACCTTTATTTTTCAAACACAAATTTTTTTCTATCCTTTTTTCAAAAGTTTTGTTTGTCAGCGCTGGGTATTGCTTGTTGGGTAAAAAAAAATGCTATCTTCAGCCCATAAAACTCCTACCCATTAACGTTCACCATCATGGTAAGTTGTTGATTCAAGAAGGTTTTCTAACTCATACTACGCTTTAAGTTGACTAACAAGTTCAACGTCTTCATCATTGAACTTGAAACAAATTGACAACAATCCGGACGATGGGGAAGGGGGTCCACTCAAACCCATCCTACTGGCAGACAAGCCATTAGAGTTTTCCTATTCCTATTATGAAAATAATCAAAGGGGCTTATGTGGTGATAATAGTCCTGACCAACTACCATTTCAATATCCGAATGAGACACCAAACTGGCTTTTTTGGTTCCAAGTAGGGGTAATTTTCTTTGAAGGCCGAAAAATTACCCTTTCGAGACCCCACATTAATTTCATCCTTCATGTAAGCGGTTACATCAAAACATGAACCAGTCTTAGTTTTGTCACCGGATGCTGTGACCTTCAATAATTGACTCGACAAACACTTGCTGAATTAACCTATAAAGGTTCAAACCAATTTTTTTTCGGACAATTTTATGCGGCAGAGGAAACTTGGTGAAAGCCGGGAATGATTGCTCAAAGAATCAACAAAACAAGAGCGTTATCGGTTTTTGACTCAGATAACACACTCAGATCTGTAACGTGGAGTATACTTTTAACAACCTGCACGGATGTGGAACAAGGAGAGGTTGATTTTTCCGCTGGATTTTTATCAGTTAGAAGACATATTTTTCTCCATTCAAGGAGAAAAAAAATCTGCACCATGCAAGAGTAAGTTTGGCACATTTTGCATTCGGGTTTGTGCATTTTCGAGCCTTTAGGCAATTACGGATTATGCTTGCAGACAGGAAAAATTTAGTTATTATTCCTCGGAAATTTTGCCCTCCCTTTGATTAGGTTTTTTTTAAGACATTGCTGCCTTATAACGAATGTTTACCAGCGCAATGCGTGCAGGCAGGATATTGAACCTTGTTCGGCTTAGCACTTGATGCAAAAATTGGGGTAGCAATTTTTATTTTGACGGGTTCCTCGGTTTTTGTTTTGCAGAGGAAATTTTCATAAGCTCAATCGTTTTGGCTTTTTTTTTCAACCAATTGTTGAAAATAGGGATATTAAGGCAAAAAAAACTGCGCTTGACCGTGTACGACGACGAAGACTTCTTCATTTTCGGAGGCAAATTAATTAAAACTTGACTCAAGATAGCGGTTGCTTCAGAATGTCGTCACACGACAACGATCGAAGCCCACCAACAAGACGGATAAAAACACAAGCAAAGTTGATAATGCTTTCTAAACTGTGCTTTTTAACTGATGGAACGCAGTTAAATTTTTCAAGATCTGCGCTCTCGAAGGTTTGAGTTTACCCAAATTTTCATTCAAAGAGCCTCAGTGCATCCATGTACATCCGATCTGAATACGACAAGTCCGCAATTGCCAAATTAGCTTTTCTGTTAAAACTGTTTTTCGATAAGTCACCTTGATGTCATCCGAGGGATTGAATTGAGAGTCAACAGGCTAGGTCTCGAACAGATATCGATTGCGTTGACGAATCAACATAATTGAGTACAGGTTGATATAAGTCAGATACGACCAGACTCGAAACATACGTCTGATGAACAGATGCATGGATCCGAAACGTTGATTGCAAGGGTACTAGCTCATGAGCAAGAGTGGGAAAAAAGTTCAACCGCTATTGTACGCGAACGTTAAATATTTTGGAAGGGTAACTGATGTAATCCACTCAAATATATGCGACGTTTCATTTGACTTTAAAGGGGTACAAATTGCGGTGATCGAGCTTACAGTTGAAGGAAACCACGAAGCGTGATATGTTTTGGAGAACTGACTGAAGTAAGTGGGATGACCTACAGGGGGTACTGCTACAAGAAATGAAGTAAGAAGAGAAAAACTTAAGCACCACAGTGACGAAATATTTTCATTGCTAAGACAAACCGCCTCATTCGACGTTACAAACAAAAATGACACCCACGTTGGTGTTATACTGAATCGTATTTAATCCAGAAGTGTATGCGCTCGGTTCGGTTACGGTCGCTACTGTGTTCAAATTCGGCACAATTTTCAATCAAAATTCTGCGCGTACACCTTCTGTTTTCATAGGAGAACTTACCATGCTATCAAACCAGAAAACATAGTCAGAGTCATCTTCCAGTTCGGCTGCAGCTGTTTTGATTTTAAAGATTTTAACAATTTTCCTAGCGGATTTGTACTTCTCCAAACTTTTGCTTAGTTTCTGGCTCTTGGTATTGAGGTTCTTGCTAGCTCATTGATGCTTCATTTGTCTCTCGACCACTTCTGTTCTCAAATTGGCTATTATCAATTCTTTTTTCCATTTCTAGAAGTAATAGAGATCAATTTACTCTGACCCGATAATCTAGACTGATGTAAATTTCGAGATCTTATGTAAGCTTTCAAAGAAGCCGCTGCCTCAAACGGGATGAAACAAACCTTGCTTGCTCCTCAACTCCTACATAGTTCGTAGCTTTTTGTGGTACCCCTTCGTGACGTTTTGTCACAAGGTGAAGCCACTGTTCCATTTGCTCACATCATATCCCCATAGTAGCTGTTTCGGCAAGTTCAATGATCTTATTACTAATAAAAAAGCCTTTTCCAGGAATAACAATGCATTTGATGTAGTTTTCAGAAAAAAAAATACGTTTTTTGTTCTCTGTGCCTTTTCGATTGTTTTTGTGAATATTTGAGAGCTCAGTTTCTATATTACGCTGACACTCAAATTGTTTTGTAATTTTCGGCCTAACTTCTGGTCCCTTTTAACAAATTGTTACAATATGCTTTTGAATTAAAAAGAGTGACGTATCAAACTTCAATTCAATGCAAAAGCAAACGAAGATTTCAAAGCACTGTAACACAATTACAACATTTTATACGACAACTACAATACCAATTCTCTTGAGCGCCTGACCATACACTCAGTATACCTCGGCTAGGTGCTTCTGCAAAATGGCTAAGATGAGAACACGTTGCTTATCCTGAGAATATGTTGCGCAACTGCTCATCCTTACATTTATTTTTTATTATCAAAAACTTTTAGTTTCTCTATTATTTCCTCAAATCTGGTGCAAAAACGGAGCACGATGGCACTAACTTTTTGCTCGATGAGGTTTAAAGATAACTAAACTTTTTTCTACAGACAATTGAAGTTATTGCAGCGATGCCTTTTAACTGAGTTATGTACGCCTTCGTACCAAATCGCGATGTAAAAATGACCAAAAAACCAAAACAGTGTAAAAATGACTCAAATTAATGATGTACTGTCATATGGGGATTAACGGCGTTTGGATTAAAACTAAGACCAATATGGCCGAGTTAGCATCAGCAAATTAAGTCGATTGAAGCGGGTAGTTTTTCTAGCGCGTGAAGCAAAGAGCCTGCACCGAGAATGAAATTCATTATTGGTTTTATACTAAAAAACCTGTCGCTGCGGATTTATTAGTTAAGCAAGTTTTTCGAATAGGTTAAGGGGGCTTCGTATAATTTAAGACAAAATCAATTTAACCACTAGGAGAAAACTTGAGGTCGCCGGTTCGCAAACTAATTAAACACTTAAGTTAAGAATCAGTTCAGATTGCTATCCAGTTCTGGCAAAGCTATTAATGTTTTTAGACAATAATTTTCTGAGATTTAAGAAAAAAGTATATTCTTTTTTAGGAGATCTGAAAAAATGCGCTTAAAGCGATTTCGAAAGCTTCAAATACAGAAGAGAACTTTAGTTGAGGTTTAAGAAATTTCAAGTTTTTTAGGCTAAGCTTTGTTTTTTCAATTCGAACGATTAGAAATTAGCAATAAAAAACACTTTTCAATGATAGATGTCAGTATTTTGCCACTATCATTTTCCACCTTTGTACGAATCGCTATCATGTTTAAAAAAATTAGCGACTGCTCAAGATTATGTACCAAACTGTTTTTCAATAAAAAGGCGCAGCTGATTTGGGAATCCAGGCAAAATTCGGAATACTGATCATTTTCCTTGTTTATGAGCTTGTCCACGAAACAGTGATAGTAGTTTTGTGTTACTTCTTCTGGTAACCGGTATATCTTTACAGTGATTTGAGGTCCATGAATGAAGTGTCCATGTTTTGGGATGAGTGAGAGTTGTGGTATCAGTCCATCTCTTTCTATCCCATTAGACCGTTTATACTTCGCATTTTTCTCACCGAGCTGAATGAGCTGTGAAACTATGTTGTGTGTGTTCCTATAGCTCCTTCCTAGCCAATGAGTTTTGAAGTTTCTTTCCTTTTCCACTGTGGCAAGCCATTGTTGTAAATCTGAACGATACAATTGGCTTTCTTGGGTAAAATCCGCTACCAAGCAACTCCAGCCATTTGGTTGCCAGCCAGCTGGCAACCAGCCATCTGGTTGCCAATAGAAATCATCATCTTGAGAATCGTCTGCGAACAAAAGCAGCTTCAGTTCAGGGGATTCAGATTTTGCCTTTGAATTAAAATCACGATAATTTGATGGATATCCATGGCAGATGATGATGTTATGCTCTGTGAGGAAGTTGTCATCAAACTTTTTCAAGTTTTCCTGTTGAAAACCATATTCGTAAACTTTGATACCAGCTCGTTCAACAATTTCTGAATAGCTAGCTAGTTTAAAGTCACTTTGAAATAAAATAAAAACTTTAGTGCCGGGTTGAGTCAAAACTGTGTGAACAGCTTTAGCTAGGAGAACAATCGTCTTTCCGGACCCAGCAGCCCCAGTGATTAAAATAGGGTAGTTTATATCTTCAAATGCAATTCTTTGCTCATTTGTTATGTAGTTCAGTTTTAGGCAGGTTTCGAAAATGTTGATATTTTTCACCACAAATGGCGGATCTTTGAATTCACTTGTTTTGATCACTGATGGGTTTGGAGGACTATTTTTTCCTCTGAATGTGATTTCTGAAGTTCTTAATTTACGATCAATCTCGACGACACATTCTTTCAAACTAAGAAGCCTTTCGTTGACTTGTCCCTTATGCGAGGCAAATAATCGCAAAATTGCGCTCTGTAATTTTGTTATGTCACCTGAGAGCGTTTTGTTTCCAATAACACTTGATCCTTCGTTTTTTATATTCGCCCAAATTGTGTGGAATTCTTTGAAATCATCTTTGTAGATGGCATGAATGTTTAGGGGGAGGTTTTGTTTGTCAATGTTGGGTTGGTTTTTTCGTACATTTGGGAAGGCAACAAAACGGAAAACGCGGATTTCCGAACAATTTCCATTTTCTGTTTGAGTGGAATCTAAAATTTTCTCAAGGAGTTTCATTCCTTTCTCAAATTGTGTAGTAGCTTTCTCAATAGCACCCAGAATTGGATGTATTTTTTTCGAATTGTTTGCTGATGATCGAGATAGCGATGAATCTTTGACTTCGTTTCTTGAATCATTAAGAGCGACTTCAGTGCTTTCCTCTTTGTTGCCATTTAGCTTACTCGTTGTGGCTTGAGGTATTAATGGATAATTGGCTTCGCTCCTCAGTTTATTAGGACTAACGTCAGCACTTTCCTCATTGCTGTCATTCGTTTTGTTGTCTGGCTTAGTCTGAGCTAGTGATGGATTCTTGACTTCTATCATTACTATGTAATCAGGTCCGAATGCAACAAAATCATGCTCGCCTTCATCTGCGTGCGCGTTTTTACAGTTAGGCTTTATCTTAGAGCGTCTGCAGGTTTTTCTATCATGATTTGAGTCCCAGATTGTAAACTGGTCGTGGCTGTATTCAAAACTATGAAATACCATAAGGGGCTCCTTTAATTTTTCAAGTGCTCGATATACAACTACCTCGGCTTCATAATCTTCCTGTTTTTGTATTTCAGTAGCGATTGCATCGTTGTCTTTTTCTGCATCATGAAAGATCTGCTTAAAACCCAATAGACCGGTTGTTCTAGTCCATTAGTTAAAATACTTAACTGACACTATTGGGACAAACCATTTCTACTCACTTTTCAGGTCCTTATATCTCTCCAGCAAAGATTATTTATGTTCTGTACTGCCAAATTTCTTACTGTAATTCACATATTTTTCACCGTTTTCACAAATATAAGTATTTAGTTGTTAAGAGTCTGAAACAAAATGTTTCCTCTTTTAATAAAAAGTTGAATTGTTGTTAACTATCAAATATTCATATGAATATTTGGCAAATCATAAAAAAATATATTTGTCAAAGAACTTAATTGAAAGAATTAAAAACAACAACAAAAGAAGAAACTTCAAAAAAAAAAAAAAAGTTTCCACTATTTGGGTTGTGTTTTGTTTCATTTTTTAAGATTATTTATCTTCAAACTTTTTAAATTAAAAATTACGTCCATTCGATTTTCTTAATTGGATAGGTTTTATTAAAATAGTATCAAATGAATAGTGAACCAATGAAAGGTTTTTGAAAAATTTTATTTGCTATATGGAACTCAGCGAAAGAAGCCAAATCAATTCTCGAAATTACACGCTCCAAATTACTAGAAGTTTCGAACATTTTTAGGGCAACAAAATCAGATTTAATTTATTCTTCTTAATGTATTTTTCTTTCCTATTTTTTAACTTTTCCTTTTCTGTTTTTTTTAAATAGGATATTTCACTCCAGTTGATCAGCTTTCTGTAAAAATGTTTCTGAATTAATATTTAAGCAGCATGATCTTAACAAAGTGGACTCGTTGTTATCAAGTGATTAAGAGTTAACGAATGACGTGGTTTTGCACTCATTTTGGTTGTGCACTTTTTTGTTGGTCGTGCAGAATTTTTTCTCAAAAAAAGTCCTAGACATTTGTTCACACTAAAATTAATTTTTCTCCTTTTGAATCAAAAATGACTTAGCTGTTTGCTAGAAGCGATGTCTGCTTTTACCGGATAAGAATGTTTTCAGGCAATGATGGGGGGAGCATTCTTGAATTATCTTTTTGACCAGTTCGCAAAATGACCTGTGTCTATGATTCAAACTTTTGAGGATTGTTTGAAACAGATCCTTCGAAAACGTCAACTCGTTTTTGGCTGGGTGCGGGTGAAAACATCAGCGGACGCTCTTTGTTTCGGCAGTATTTTTCGTAGAGTTCTCCCCCTTCGCGAACAATGCGTAATATGGATGGCTCGCATGCGGACATAGCTAAATTTGGCCTTTTAGCCATAAACAGTTAAGAATCAAGATATACCTTACAATTGGTAAATCAAGGTTTCAGTGGACTTTTTTAACTATTCCCCTATTGCAAGGGTTGAATTCGTTTGAAAGAGCAAATTTCGTATGAAGTAAAGTGTGCTCGATTACTTTTTGGATGGAAGTTCTTTATTAGATACAAAAGAGGGAATCGGTAACAAGATCCGTTTTATTAAATCAAAAGGGAGTCAACGAATTATGAAAAAGAACGCCATGTTACATAAGCTTCAACGCAAAAGTCAAAGCAACGGAGCTATCTCAGTACCAAAACGACGTACAAAATTTATACGTTAGATTTGAGAAAAATTTATACGTTAATCCAGTTATATCAGATTCATTAAACTGCGTTTCTTATGGTTTAACATTTAAAAATATTAACGAAAACTCGAACATTTGTATTGGTCTTTTTAATCAATGTAAACTTTGCCAACTATTGAGCTTGACTAAGCTCTAACTACAGATGAGCAGATAGATCAAACTATTCTAAATGGAGATGAGAGAGAGAGAGAATTGAGAGTTCTTATAATGGTGTACGTATCGTTCTTTATCCAACATGCTTGTCTACCTGAGACATGGGAATTAATACCCAAACATAAAAAGGCTTCTAAGCTGAATGAATTGAGTTTAAGTCCGAGGTGGATCACCCACAGACTAATTTCAGATAATGTACACCGTCTGTTCGTCACGCTATCTTATTTTCGGTCGGGTAGGTTCGTGTAACTTCTTAGTCTAATACCGATCTTAATCTTACTCTTATATCTCCTAGGGAATTTTTAAAATATTTTTTGTCTTAGTGATTTGTATTCCCCAGCATGCAACAATGTTGTTGCGATGGCTTGCAATTTTTGTGAAGCTCCACTTCGCCACTGTGTTAGAGGAAGGTTTCCATTGTTTATAAATAAACGAGTCTGAGAACATTTCGTCAAAGTTAAACTTTTATAATCCCGCCTTTAGCCATAGCGTCATGAAGGTAATAACTGTCTTCTAATTTTTATTTATATTATTCTGTCGCTGAAACTGAAGAGTTTCAGCGTTACAAATAAATGTCAGCATAGTTATGGATCATGATTGGTTAGTTAGAAATATTGGCTCTTTTCCAGTTTCCCCCTTCAAAAAACCGAGTTTTTTTGTTTGTTTTACGTGTTATTACGGCTAAATACGTGATGTTACGCTGCAAAGTATGAAAAACAAATCTGTTCACCACGCCAAATTTCATTGAATTGTGACAATGTTAAATAGACTTTTCAGTATTGAATTTGAAAGGGGGAACTGGAAAAGAGCCGAAGTATTTTATATTGATAGTTTTATCAATATTATAATTGATTATAAATAGTAGTTTTAAATTGTTCTTCTTCAATGGGTACCTTTGCTGCGATGTTAGGTCCAAACTTTAAATCCTATGAATGTTGTGACTACGGCAACAAACCAATACATTTGCCATTCCTAAGTTGGAATGTCGTCAAGTTTTCATCTCCCTTTGCTTTAAGAAGTTTTTTTTACATTGCTTATTATATCTATATCTTATTAGTGAAATCAGTTTTAGTTATGATATTTATTAGTAGTTTTTGCAAAATCGTTTTTAAATATTTTCGGTTATTTTAAAGAGTTGCTCACTCTGAAGCCAATCTAAACAAAAATTGGGAATCGGGGTCGTAGCCCATGGTTGTCGCATGTTTTTCGAGCAACGTCGTTCTGGTGAGTTAGGCCAGAAGGGGATAATTATTACAGTATCTCTGAGCAGGGTCTCTTTTCGTGTTCAACTTTTTTGTTCTTTTTTATTAGGTGTTTTTCACTTTTCTATATTTGGTTGTGTCCTTTCATCAAAAACAGATTGTTGTGTTTTTGGTTTTTCTTTTGATATTATGGCGTTTTAAGTGGTTTCAATAAAACTTGAAAGTGGGTTTCAAAAGAATAATTTATCCCGTTTAAATCTGGGTTTAATCTGGTCTGAGTACCGTGGGACTTTCCTAAACATGCGGTGGGTTTTGTGGTGTTAGTAAGCTGCGTTGGTTAGTTTTAAGCTTAATTATAATTCCTTCCAACCGGGTTGAGGGACAGTTTGAGACGAGTGAAAATGAGTTAAAGTTGTTATCAGTTAGTGCTGGAATTTGAATTTCATTTATTAAACAATTCTACATTTGCGAGTTGCGCAATTTTGGTAAAAAGACTGCGTGAAATGTGGGCGAGTGAATAAGAATTATTCGTTTATAAGAGAAGCACACAAAAAAAATTAGTTTTTAGTAATTTGTTTGCATTATTAGTTTACTACTACGTATTTTGAATTTTACTAGAGAATTATGAATTCATTGCACTTTTATTAAATTTACTTCGCCAGGATAATTCAGTTTCATTGTTAGATTAAAATTGATAAACATATAGGAAATTTGTGTTGTTTAAGTTGGTTTTATTCTGTAGATGAGTGACCGGTCAAATCTTAAGAATAAAGGTGAAAAACACGTGTAAGATTGGTGGGTGTCTTTTTTATTCGCAATAGTAATCCTAACAAAATTCATACTTACGAGGGTTCGGTTCCAGGGAAAAATCCAAGGGGGAGGCTAGTTTTAATAGTGCTTGATGTATCTAAAAGCTTGGCAAGCATGCGAATTACGTTTTTAGTGCGAAGCAGTGGCCAACGAAGTTCAAGTGCTCTGATGATATTTACTTGTTGGTAATTGTTGAAAACTCGTGATTTGTGTTTTCGATTAGGTTATGAAGCTTGAGATTAAATTTGATGTTGTGGCTATTATCGAGTAGCAATACTTCAACGAGTTGTATAAATTTGTGGGTAATGATGATTGGACGGGCGTCGTCTAGTGAGAAGGTGTTAGTCAAGGGGCAAATTTTATACCTTTGCCGGACATGATCATAACTACGGAGGATGCCGAGCAAGTTGGTATAATAAATGCAATATGTGAAGTTTAGGAAACATGGTGATGTGTATTTTGAGTCAATGAACATAAAGCGAGGATGTGGGTAACGGGATGGTGAACTATGTAAATAATGTTTTTGTATGAATTTAGAATGTGTATGAGTGGGTTAGTTTTGTTTTTAACAATATGTTATGTGAGCAGTGGATATTTCTTTCCTTTGGCGTGAAGAAGTTAAAGGTTTGTGCGAAGTGATCAAACTTATTAAAGATAGACTTATAAGCTTTGGTGCTTGTTAGTGCGTGAGCGATTATATGATCGAGTATTTTTATTAGTGCTGTCTAGATAAAATATGGATTCTGATTTATTGAAAAAAAAATTCAGTTAGTTGAGGATCATAGTTAGGGTCGTCGTCGTGTGGATAATCTTCCATATATTTGGTGACAGCGTGATCGTAATGGTTAATAGAAAATCGATTATTATGTGGTGCTACGAAACTGTTTAGTGTTTGGCTTAAACATATGCTGGTGAATTGATTTTTGTGAAGTGCGGTAGTGAGTTGGTGAAAGATGGAGTCACAAAGTTCGTTATCATCGGGGTTGTTTTTCAAAGGATGTTTTCATGGGTTAGTAAATTTGTAGTAGGTGATTCAGGAGAGTGTAAGGAGTAGGATAAATTCATTGACGTATGGTTTGTATTGGTTTTCATAATCTGCATTGTAGTAAAAAACATTGGAGGGAAAATGTTAATTATAAAACAAAAGTTCTGAGGCATTAGTGTCTTGGTCTTGAAGGTGGTGGCAATATAATCCAGATGAATGTGGGCGATTAATAAAAAATTGCGGTAT